AAACGAGCATCCTTTTCATGGAAATGTTTAACTCATTCTCATTGGAACTTTCTTTTGACTTTGGGGAAGACTGTTAGGATAGAAATGTCGGGCCTTCTATTTTTTGTTTTTAAGATTTGTGTTTAGAGTTGTAATATAAGTGCATGTGCAAAGGACTCGCATTTTTAGTTAAAATTCCAATTACGGTCTTCGTTTTCGAGTTCAGTAAACTGCAATAAGCATGTATTCCTCTCTGACCATTAAAGGGATTGGAATCGTGCCTCAATTAAACCATACGAGCGACCTCTTCGAGTATAGTATTTAAAATTGGGTTTGACAATTCTGGTTGTATACTGTGGGTTTACAACTCTTTCTGCAGGAATTTGGTTCCCCATATAATGGACCCTGAGTACGGTTGAAATGTAAGGCAGCGTCAGGAATGGAATGGGTGGTTAGGAACGACTTCTGCGTCTTCACTGTAATGACAGCCTACGCGACGAGAATTTCCCAAAATTGTGTGTCGTACTGATAACATTACTTTCCTCGGTAGCCCGATGTGCTAATGACGTCACGTTCTACGTAGTACGCTTCTATGAAGGCTGGAATCCGTCTCCCCAATTTGCACACCTCAAACTAAACTTGACGTCATCAGTGCTTAGGCTTATGGGTACGGTCCGTTTGTATTTTCGAATAGGCTAGCTGCTTGGCTCATGAGTCATATGCCTTATTCGGCTGAATTGAGACTGTATGCGCTTGTTCGTCATTAGCGCGCCACGTTGAATAGCCGTAAAGGCGTGGACATTTAGGACCGTTTCGGGTATGGCCTTATGGTTCCTTCCGCTTATCAAGCGACTATCGCCTGTTTAGTCCTTAAGGACATCTCCTACCGGCCGGCTTTAATCATGTAGACATGGCATTCTTTTCAGTGTTTGAAAAGAGAAGCATACAAGGTTCCCCCATATAGCTTGCCTCTCTACTGGATCACATTGCAATGTCCACATCTTTTCTTCATATAAGTGATCCCTCTTTCCAGAAATGATGTGAAAAAAGAGGCCTGAAGCCATTGGCTACGAGGTAGATTTAGATGATCAGAAGAAATTGTTGAAAATGGCAATGAACTTAATGCACTGTACTTACATAGAGCTAGGCAGTTTGATTTTTAGTGCAGTTCCTGAGAATGCCCCTTTGTAAAACCCGATTTCCAATTTTTGTTTGGTCATTTTAAGAGTATTTTAGTAGCTTTCTGATCTTTATGCTGCCGCAAATGCCTCTAGTCATTATAAAAATTGTAATATCATTCAAGGCAGAAACCACGGTCTTACAGCTACTTCTGCACTGAAATTTGACAGAATTTTGGATTTTTAAAGTTTTGGTGGTATGGTGATGCGACATTATTTCATTTCCTGACAGTAGCCCAGCTAACTAGAAAATTATTTTCAGAAGAAGTTTAAATGAGCAAATTTTGGGTTCGCAAACTGAACAGAAAACCTCCCAAATGAATAGCGTCTTCCTGTGAAGACGCCAGTGAAGTAGCACCTTCATTATTGTAGAAAAACTTTTAAATGGGTGACTTTTCGAGGCTTTGTGGTGGCAGACGAACCGGTCCCTTTTCCCCACCATTGTGCACGTGATCAGAACTATACCGCACGGTCACTGACATGTTAATGTCACGTGACCGAAAATAATGCCGGATAGTTTTTCTTACGTTTGAGGGGAGTACAAAAAAGATGAACAAAATATGGTCAGAAGCATGGGCCCTTTGAAGTAACCTATTTGAAGAACGCCTTTTAGTGCCAAAGGACTAGGGCTGTGCCAAATAACCGAATAAGCGAATATTCGATTGATTGTCGAATATTCGAATATTATTTTTCGAATTTTAATATTCAAATGCAAAATTCATGAAAGGAAGGAAACATTTTCTTCTGTCTTAAATGAGAAAAATTGCACTAAGGAGGCTTGTTTCAAGCAGATTCAAATGAAAAGCGTCAGAAATCTCAAGTTACGATTTCAAGAGTAAATTATTCATTAAATAATTTAAAAGGAATAGAAATTTTCAATGGGGTTTTGTTAATCTCTTAAATCTTGCTAAATAGTGGCTGGAGATACTCCTAGATGTGAGAAGCTATTATATTTATCATAATGTACAATTGTGTGTGTTATTGCAACTGATTTTGTATATGATTTATTCATCAACAATCTGCTGGTCGGTACGACTGAATATTCGGATTTTTTACATAATCAAATGTCAAATATTCAAATAGTGAAATATGCGAATTGACTCAGCCTTACAAAGGACGCCCACCCCCAAATTTAAACATTTTCATAATTTTTTTAATGCAGATCCTGCATTAATAATAGGTTTCGCTACAGAAAACTGCTTCGTGAAGTACGTTTTCTGTTTTGCTTTGATTTCTTCGGAAGCTTATTTTACCTTTTTTTGCACATAACATTACTATACCTACAAAGTCAAGATCGCCTTACACGTTCTCTGATATTTTGACAACGTAATAACACCACCGTTTTCCAGAGCAAAAGTGACAAATTAACTGGTTTCATTTATGGAGGGGGCCAAGACCTTCACAGACCTTTATCTATTTTACAAATTTATCTCCTGTCCCAATAATCCCGATAAAAATCACGGTAGCTTTTGGAGACTTTCGACGAGAGCATCAAACTCGAGTGTTCGAACCGTTGCTGCTGGTGAAATTCTCATTCATTCTTTCTTTCATGTTTAACTTTCATTCACGTTTATTTCACACTGTGAATAAACACAGAATTAAATTATAGACATCAACAAAGAAATAAAGAAACAGAGTGCGGAGCACATTAAAAAGGCCGACGCTTATGTCGAAAATGCCCCTAAGAAAATGATGAAGAAGGAAGCAGTTGATTAGCAATAAAAGTACGAGATGTATGTGAACAACAAAGACGAAAAATGTAAAGCTTTCTATGTAAGAGTGCTGTGGGGTTTTCAAAATAGGCATATATGAAACAGCAAAGTGTATAGCTCACGAACCCGGAAAAGAATGACTGAGGCAAATATTGAATGCATATAAACATGCAAAATTACCAGGTGCGTAGTCCCGAAGAACAAATTATGTGAGGTATATAATGAGAAGTAAGGATGTTCTTATAAACAAACTTAAATTTACCCACAGAAGACTGAGCTTTCACCTCTGTATCGATGCCCTGTCTGTGATGTCCCTACATGTAGCTGTATACGGCCGATCAAACCACCCATAAGATGAGCTTTTAAAGCACAATACCAATATTCGGGACGTGGAAGTAATATATTATACACACGGACTGAAAGTGATGTCATAAAGGCTCGTCCATGCGCCCCAAGGAGCTGTGAGTGACCAGTGGATGGTCCTTTCCCGCGGCCTTGGATGTAGACCAAGGGAAATAGGACCTCCTTTTGGCCACTCGAACGCTTTTAGTTTCCCCAAGATTCGGTTTGTTGAGTTGCTGCTCACTCGTCTCTTTTCGTGTCCTATTCACGCTGATGCAAATTTTATCCTCTAGACACTATCAGTGGACCCAGGCGACCGTATTCCAGCTGTCCAGAATAAAGCCGGAACCAGCAATAGTTGTGTTATTATGTGACTTGGGTGCCACCTTAATAAGTGAGGCTCAAGCCAATAGGGCGTTTAAGAGGGCGTTTGTTTACTTGAGCAAAATCCTTTTCATCGCTACATATGTGGGCGATAGATCAAAAACCTTTTTTTTCAAAATTTATCTTTTGCAACAGCAAACAGGCTGAAAAACTAAACAAAAAGCAAAAAAATAGAGAAATTGAATTGTACTCTCGGGAATTCGAACAAAGGATATCCATATTAATCCTTTCCTTGCCCACCACTCTTCGCCAGCCAGCTCGATCGGGCTCCCCCTTTTTGTCTTTGTCTCGACCCCCATATTGTGATTTTGAAGCTGTTGCATGATTCACGTGACTCTAATAATGTATTACCGGCACGCTTCTTCCAGTGCCATTTTGCTGCATGTAAAAGCCTCGTTTATTACTAGTGGTGGGTAGTCGGACTGGGTGTGCTATATACATGTACTTGCCAACCCGGGCCGCATATTGATGGCCATGCCTATGTCTGTGCTGCGATACCCTAGTGTTTAGCCTCGATTCGAGTATTTATGTCAAACCATTACTTTAAAGTTTGGGACAATTTTTTTTAATTCCAAGATCTCGCAAAGCAATGCCTTAACAAAGTACATAGCAGTTTATTCCGATATGAGTTGCATTTTTATAAATGACAGGTACATGTACAGAGGCTTGAATCTGTTAAGTCTTAGATTAACATCGTGTATACTATCTATCACCCCGAATCAAGTTCCACCAGGAACTCATATCTCCCGATCACCTTGGCTGGGTCATCCTTTTTGCTAAGGTTGACAGCCAGTCTGTAGCACTAAAACTGAGTGGACTAGATTTTTTCTCCTCGTTAAGATGTTTGCCAGAAATAATCTCGTACGTTGATTTCCTTCTCTTTATAGGTACAAGCATTATCGCGATGCCCTGGAGAAAACGCCCAAGATACCCTGGGGCACGGCCCGCGAGTACGCGGGGGAAGGCCCGGTGAATCTTCCGGACGATCACCGGCCTAAAAACGAACCACCGCCTGCTGTGGAGAAGGGACATCGGCATTTTGGCACAGGGGTCGATCCCTACCCAAGGTAAGTTTGTATTGCTGTTAGTTGTAGGGTGTTGACTCACTGGGATAGGTGTTCGGAGGTGACGTGACAAATGATGGAGAATGGCCGGCTATCATGGAATCAGGTAAGTCATTTTTTTCCTTTTTGATTAAATCATAAATCATGTATCTTATTGTAATACGGGCGATTCACAATAGTGCGCCTCCAAGAGTTTGAAACGCATTAGACAATCACAACGCACGAAATTTGTCGACCATTTCCAAACGCGCATTGGGTCGACAGATTTCGCGCACTGTGATTGGCCCACGAGTTGCAAACTCTTGAAGGCGCACTATTGTGAAACACCCGTATTATTACAATGTACAGACATCCGTATATCAATGTAGGCCTAACGGGAGAATATTATATCGAATTCAATTATGCTCATCTAATATGTCAAGTAAATTATAAGATAAACGCGAGACAGTTGTTGGGTTTCGAATATCCTAGGCCCGCTCCTATAACTGCCATTATGAACAACAGCTGATTTCATGATTTCCTTGGGAAGTCTTCATGAGTGTGTCACAATATCAGTACGTTGCAGTCATCCAGTGAAGACAGTTTGTCCGCTTAAATTAAGTCAAAAGGGACGTAATTGCAGTCATGTCATCCAAATGATATACGTACAGAATATTTACATGTATTGAGAAATTGATTAGTTTTCCCTCCAATTGCAAACAAAGATGATATCAGGTGGAAAAGTTGGACATAAATCTAATTGATAGCGATCATTGATATATGGAAACATTTCATTACATGCCGCACCACTGTAAGACCGTGATAAAAAGACTTGTGCATCTCAGTGCCGAAATTATTCATTAATATTCATCATTACATTATTTTGCGATTTGGGGGCTTTATCAAGGGGGGTATTTGGGGTATTTTTAGTCAACACACATTGAAACTAATGCATAGAACTGAGATTTGTATTTATAAATGCCTCAAACAGTCTCCCTATTCAACAACGTGCAGCTTGACCATGTACATGTACACGTATTAACATTTGATAATGCCCGCTGAGAAGTGATAATGCCAGCCGCGTAAATCAAGCGCTGGCACCTGAATACGAGACAGTTCAATCAATTCTGATTGGTCAAAAGTCTGTGTGCACGTGGCTCGCCACGCGCACGCCAAGTCCATATAAGGAGATTCTTTTGGACAACTTGCTCAATTACATTAAAATGGGCGGGGGTTCGGGAAGATGAAAGTAAAATTCCAGAACAAAATCGTTGGAAATCCACCATATATTGACGACATCTGACTCTTTGACTAAAAAGGGTATCTATGAATGGGAATAAATATGTGCTTGAGCGATCTTAAACTAACTCTTAAGACCGGCTCAGGAGACTGAACGCTGATAATGCCCTCAACTGCGGCTCGGGCGACTAGAGCCGGTCTGATATACGCACGTTTAATTTAGACCGGTCAAGCACATATCTATTTCCTTAATAAAGAACATTTCATTGCATCACCGTTAGTCTCTTAGCCAGTTTTGCAAGTTTGTTGACTGAGTAAATATACTGTGCTTTTAAAAACAAACATTTTCGGTAAAGTTGATGGTGTCCACACAGAGAGGTCTTTGCCACCCGAACACGCCCACTTAAATCCGACCCGATATATGCTCAGATATGCCGACTACTTTCAACTATTCTGTTAGATGATGAGTTGTTTATCTGAATAGCGGCATCAGAAAAAGTTTGAATCTGAAAACCATGATGGTAGATCCAAGAGGCAAAGAAATCCAGCTCTGTTCTCACAGCCCTGTGAAATAAAAAAAAATCCCTATGTATTTACGTTAACAATGATATAAATCATATCATTAGAGGATGCATATAGCGATATCAAGATCGAGACTTGTTCGCAGCTGCATGGAATTCGTTTATAAATAGGGCTTCAGCCTGAGTGACTTTTCCCATTGGATTCACCGCTCGGCCGTCCGCCCTAATCAAGGGCGGATCCGTGCAGTCGGTTTCTCGGGAGACCGCCCCAGTGCGCCATCAAATCTACCACCGCAAAGCACGCACAGCGGGATGTAAGGAGACTCAGACTTGAATCAGATCAAATGACAGGGAAACATCAGTCGCATCTTGAAGTTCCCACATATCCCACCGGACAGTTGATTTAAGCTCAGTACTGTGGCCCATTTTGTCTGATTTTCTTGGATCATTCATGACATTCGTGAGCGTTTTTTGGGTCATCACTGCAGTGGCTTGAGTAGTCACCAAACTTTGATAACTGAATGATGCAAAGCTTTTTTGCGTGTTACTCGTCCGTGTCGTACGTTTATTCGGTTTGTTGGCATCAGCCTGTGTGCTCAGAGGATCACAACACTGTGATCTTCAACACTCGAAGCTAAAACCCAAAACACGTATCGCGGATTACCGTACTCACGGCTGAGTGCTCCCATGCATGCCCCCCGGATCTGTTGACCCTCTTCACCCCCATTCACCGATCCCCAATGAATATACATCAGCAGGTGGTTGATTCAGTTGATTGATTGGGTAACTGGTAACCCAGTCGGTGGCTGCCGGCTCATTTACATAATCCATGGCAACCGGCTTCTGGCTTGGCTTAGGAACGGGGTCGACAACACATACTAGACATATTACTACACATGAACAAGGTCTAGATTTTGGACGACTTAAGTTCCGATTTAGGGGACATTTTGGACGTTTCGGGGTCCAAAATGACGTCCCTCCTACCGGCCCTACCAAGGACCTACCCTCACTTGAAGGAGAAGAGAGTGTTCAACAAGCTTCATCCAATTTACTACACGTAAGACCAGCCTGTTCGCATAAAGGGTTTAGGGTTGCCATTCGGGACGATAACCGCTGCCACGATGCACCTGTTGAATGCGGTTCACAAAGCGCTGAAACTTATGAAATTAATACGTATGAGTGTAATACCTCCATGCTGTGACTGTCTAGGATCAAAATCTTCCTTTGATTCCTTTTTCCACGGCCAAATTACACGCGTAAATATGTACGTGCCTTATAAGTGTCGGCGACTTCGGTGCCTGTAGCACAGTATGCCATTTTGGAGTATAAACATGAACATGTACATGTATATGATTGTGCATTCCCCTTGAAATCACTTAATAAAATGTGCGCGTATGTTCTAGTTGACTTTTGTGGACGCGCGGTTACCACGGCATATCATTCATAGCAACAGTCGACCCATGACACAGGCGCGTCAAACTGAATAATAAATATCGGCCTTTATCTCTGTAAATCAGGAATTCACGCTGGGCGTATTTGCAAACTGTACAAACGGGGCATAGGGTCATCCTTTGATCACTAATCAAATGATGGAGGTGTTGCTTTAAAGGCAGGGCATATGTTTAATTAAGTGTTCGAGATTGTGGAGTATTGTTCCATTTTCCTTGCAGAGGATTGCCAGTGGACCAGTACTATGACCTTACACTTTTAAAAAGGAGCAACATCAGGTCCAATGATCAACTGTAAGTATTTTTATTCGTTTTGACAGAGAAATACGCATATATATGTATTGAAATAATTATTCCTTTGGTACGATCATGGAGGAAGGAATTCTCCATGGTACGATTAGACAGTATCAGTTCTTTGAATTCCATAAGTTCATTATCAATGTGCTCCATCTCCAGTATACTTCTATAGTATATATTTTGCGCAATTTTCATCTTCTTGACTTAAACCCACTTATTCTTTATTCGTTTAAAGGTTACCGAGGCCTGGGGAAGTTGACATGACGTAAGTTTCATAATAACCTAAACTACGATAATCTGACTAAGCGATCGAATAAATGAGACCTTCATTTTTCTGATAACATTTCCGGTACATCTGTACGAGCATACCAGCATATAACTTTATATGTACACTTATACCGTTTCCATTTCAACATATTGAGTTAAAGTGAAGTAGGCCTAAACCTGTTTCATCTTTCCTCCTCAAACACTGGGTACAATTTGCACGCATCTGTTATGGATAAAAGTGATTATCTGAGCTTGAAACAATTTGCATGAAGCTTTGGAGCTTAAATTTCTTCCTTAATAGGTTGTAATCGAAGCCAGTATACAAATCCTCCAACGAAGCCTTATCTTAATCAAGCTTAAAATGTTTTTTCTTTGCTTTGTTTCGTTGCACAGGAAAATTCAGATCGACAAGACCTTCCCGGCCGAGCACCCCTACAGCTCCCACATGTCCCGCTTCGCCCTCTTCCCGAGTTTTGCCAACTCCCCTGACGACTACAAGACGGGTGAGGCTGCCAAGGAGAGCAGCACCACCCTCCACCCCCAGATGCCTGCCAGCTCTTACGACGTCACGATTAACCATAAAACGAAAGGTGAGGGCTGAAAAGATCTCAGTAGCTGCGCTATGAAGCCGCGGGCTATGGAGATTAAGCCCAGGCTATATGAAGGCTCGGGCTTTGGCGGAAGGAATAGGCAGAGACAGCTAAATCTTTAGTCGAAAGTGCAATGTTATTCAACTCCTAAAAAACTAAGTTTTTCAGTAAAGGCTTCTATAAAGATAACTTAATCTGAGAGTAGCTTAAAGGGCTCTCAGTTTGCCTAATAAACAGTACAAAGTGTAAAGTTCTTCAGTCGTTAAATGTTGTATAGTCTAACGTATCTAATGCCTTATCTTTCTCTCAGGTGCTGGGGACCGATGGGAGACCCAAGACCTTCCTCTAGACTCGCAGAAAAGACCTCTGTCTTGGCCTGGTGATGTTTTCTTCCAGGTGAGACATCTTCCCATGCACCGTCCTTTTCCTTTCAATCTGGTCTGATTCCTTCTCTAGTCGTAAATTTGCAAAGTCACCTCCTATTCCGTCTCCCTGTTCTTTTAAATTACTTATTGGATCCGCAGAAAAACATTGCAAAAAGACGATGCATGAAAATGTTAAGATGTTGACAATTTCTTGCTCTCTCACCTTTTATAGTGAAGCTGATTTCTAACCAACTAGGGAGTAGTTGTGTCTGTGCGTAGGTTGGGTTTCTCTGCATTGTATGGGCTTGGGGAAAGGTTTTGATTCAAGTCTTTTTCTAAATTGAGCAACATCAATCACACTTTTAACGTATGATCTTTTGTATTCATCCACAGAACCGGAAGACCCCAACCAGTGGTCAGCAGAACTTCTATCCCATCCCACCGAAAGCCGTTCTACCCTCCCACGCCCCCAGAAGCCTAGATTTCTCCATTCACCCCAGGACCGCCAACGCCCTGCGCAATGTCGAGCGCTCCCAGTGGGTGACCACGTACAACAAGAACTTCACCGGGTACGGTCCCGCCAACGCCTTGCGCCTCGATAACTACGACGAGAAGGTGGATATGGAGAAGCGGACCGCCATCGAAAACCATAGCCTTGTAAGTGTCTGGTGAAGTGCATGCGATTTTTTTTTAACATTAATTGCATTCTTATCCAAATCCCGATGCCCCCGTGATCTTGCAATAGTTAACTCTGGGCGCTGTGTTGACACCGAACACCCCGAATTATTGTTCTTAATTTTGAAAGCGGAACATTTTCTCAGTAGACTGAGAGTCCGAGGTAGCTTATAACTTACAAACGGCTTGTGCATTATAACATGATATTATTTGCCTTTCCCTGCTTTTTTCAGGTACAGTTTATCGACAGAACAACATCTAATTGGTGAAATTGAAATTCAGCGATTTTATCATTCATGAAAAATAGAGTCCTAGCTACAACATTTTTACTTCAGGCCAGTGAGTTGAAACACCCAATCAATGTTTGTTTGCCTGTAATAACTTTTTTAAACTTTCTTTCCTTTTTTCAGCCTCAGGCTTCGCTGCCGTTCATACGTCGAGGTGTCCAAAGAACAGCGCTAAATAGGACCTATCTTCCTCATCGAGATACCTGAAAACATCCAGTTTTGATTTAACAATTTTATCAAATCACTGCTATTCAGGTTCCCCTTATGAAATGGTTCAGTAATGTGAAACTTCGACGATTTTACACTTTTGGTCGTGTTTATTTTAATTGCAGGACATTTGCAACGAATCCCCCGAATAGTGCTGTCTAATATTACCAAACCTAATCCAGAATGTCGTCTGTTTTCCTTTTACGCTATAAATGAGCCAGTTCAGTATTTCAAAACAGTAAGGTCAATTGGGAACAAAGCACGCCTGCGAGTCTGCGTAAGGCGGAGCTGATAGGGCAGTGCTCATATCTTGAACGCACGTCCAGATGACCTCAGATGCGCTTTATTTTGGGCATGCGTTGTTGGAATACCAAACTGACTCATTCGTTTGAATCTTGTCCTGATGTTTTATGATATGTATGTTATATTTTGAAGTAGAAGTGCATCCCCATACACCCTAGACTTTTATAGGCTTATATTTATATAGGCCAGCTTTGAATTAATTCTATTCGACTTTCGCACTTCAAAAGTATTTTGCCTTGATAGTTATTCAGCAGAATATTCAGTATTGGTTAGATATTGAACGCCCAAAAACTATTATCAAGATGGCTGCGTTGTGCTTTGCAAAAAGCTACAAGCTGGTTTGCTTTAGTTCCAAAAACAGATGTGTCAACCGCAATTCAAACTGACCTATATGCAATATTTCCTAGATCTGAATCGCTGACAAACGGCATGAAATAAGGCATAGGATACTTTCCAAATGTATTCGGTCGCTGCAGGATCATTTTTACGTGCACGCAATGTCTTTTTCGTCCCAGAATTTGACGCACTTTACTTTCCACTTTGCATTATAATGCACTTTTTTTTTGTAAAAGTTGTTTGATGTATTTTTGTACTTGCAATAAAGGTTCTAAAGCTTTCACTTTGTCAGAGAATAAACGTTTTAAGTTTATTTTATCTTGCAACACGATTGTTCTGGACATCGAGATGATTTACTGTAATGATTGGAACCGTGTCTGTATGATTGTAATGACAGTTGATTGCCGCCTCCCGTTACATCGCACGGCACATTGTTTCGCTGTTAAGAACTCCACAGACACAGATAAAGCCAAGTGCAACTTTTGCTGAATACTGCGGCATATTCGACCTTTGCCATCCAGAATGCAGACAAGAATATATATGGATATTAGATACCAGACCAGATAGAAAATAAATGAGAAGCAACTTCAGAAGAATAATATTAGAACTAATTTTCTGGAAGACAATAAGTATACTTTCCAAGTATCGTTCAGGCCTTTATACTCTAAATATAAAGTCACATTACTCCTTTGAAGCAATAACAATGCGAGATTTTATGCTGCTGGTTGGCCTACACATGCCTTCAGCTTGGGTCCTGGTAAATGAAAATATAACACTCGTAACTATATAATGGAACAAAATTTATGAAATTCCCTTTAAGAAAATATCCAGTTCTCCCAAAACGTTAGTCGAGGGCACGTGTGGAGTTTCTTGCATTTTGCCAACGCATAGCACATGCCCTAGAAATCTTAATGCTGTCACACACTATAGGCAAAGTGTTCCTGAGGCATGTTCCTGTCTTGTGAAATTGACATTTCGAGCCCTCATGCCGTGAAAACACTCCAGGGAACATTTTGGCAAACATTGCAAACCGAGCCTGCCTCGCGTTCAGAGCGGCCCAGTCAATAACATTAGTAGGCGACAACCTCACACTCACGGGTAGGACACCTTTCCAACGAGCGGACTCGACCTCGTCAACAGTTGCACATCCTGCGCGTGTTACAGTTTGTATTGCCACGAATGCAAAGGTTACAAGGATACGATTTCGCTAAGTGCTTGTAATGTATTCTGAAGCTTACAGTCCTTCAAAGAGTGACTGGTCATTGGGAGTGACTAAGGTTGTTTCCCGGGTTTCATTCGTCACGTCTTATTCTCATGCACCCAAACTGCCCCTAAGCCTAGCAGATTTTCATTTCAAAATGATTAAGTTTTTGATTCACAAATACGTACACTAAGGTCACTTTTGTTTGCAAAAACCAACTTTAGGTTTGTAGAAGATAAACAAAAGACTAAAATTATAACATTCGTCATGACCTAGCCCTGAGTAGTTGTCCGTAATGTCCGAAATGCTAGAGGGAGACATCGTTGAGAATAAGAACAAAATGAAATACTTTCTCCAAATCAAGCTCTTATAGTTAAGATATTGGAAAGTTTATCTTGTAAGTATGTAGGTCTATTTACTGCATGAAAAGGGAAAGGTACCACCATAACCATGCTGAAAAGTCCAGAAGGTGCCAAAACCTTGAGTTTGGTCCAAAGTTGAGCCATTATTGGAACGCGTCATACATTTCCTCTAAGGATTACCGAGACAAAGAATCTGCTCACAGAATCACAGACTATCGCGTACATGCACAACTCCCCCAAAGCCAACGTGAGGTACAGAATGTTTTGTTACACAATTGCACGCTCTAACTCCTCAAAATAGTTTTCGCAACCTCCAGCAGAAGCTTGACCGAAGCTTGCTCTGTGGAACCAACGCAACGAATAGCGTGATCTATCTATGACACTGCAGTAGCCAACCAATTGAATTAATAGATTATTCAATTCAGTTCAATCAAAAATACATTTCAGTACAAAAACCTTCCATCCTATGACGAGACTTCAGTCCCTCTTCGAATATTTTTCAGTCCTGTGCATGCATTTTTGTCGGCATTCATTACTTTTAGCATAATGGCAACGGCTTTCCTAGCACACCCTTAAAATCTGGAGCTTGTACACATTATAATTTTAACAATTCTTTCCTAAAGTAACATTTGTGTTCAATTTTCAGGTGGTAGAGATACGTGGAATATTTCACGTTGATAAACTTGTCCTATATTGTAACTAATATATTGTAACTAATATTATTTTAAATAGGGAATTTACCCTCCAGGCATATACATGGAAACAGGCAAACCACAACCTCTAGACTTGGATGTGTGAGGCGGAGAATTCTTCAAGTCATGAATAATATTATCTTATCCTCTATAAACTTTTGTCAACTTCCCGTCAGTTTATATCGTAGCCCCGTCACAGAGTGGCAGCCTCGTCGTCGGTACCATGGTTGGTCCGTTGTTCTCAAGCCTAATGAATATTTATCATTTACTCTCCCTTCTCAGCGTCCACGGTCGTATCCCACTTTTATGCCACCTCGTCCCCTGGAAGGTCGTATCTCTCGCCTGATTGGTCCAAACCAGTGCGTGCGATGTGTCATCAAAGATGGCCGCATTGAATATGTACCCTTCTCACCAAAAGTGGACATCGAAATGGATAAGGTGAGATATGGATTTTCCATCGTCGGCCTCAGGGTGTAATACGAGTTCTGTGATACTGGAAATTCTGTATAAATACAGGCGGGATTACGGGAAAGATGCATCAATCCACCTGATAATGAGGCCGACTGTGAATGCATTTTCATGTATGTTAATTAATCCGAGAAAGGCGTACGTTTTGTTTAGCGGTTGTAGACTAAATTTGAAAAAAGGTTGTTGAAACACCGCATTACCGGGCAAATGAAAAGGAAAAGAAAGAATTTCTGTGTATTTACATGGACATGCCAGTCAAAAAACAAACAAAAACAAAACAAACAAAACGTATGGCGGACAACATGCATCAACGACGTAGTTCGAATCGACTACCCCTAAAAAGTACAGTGTTTCTTTTATATTTAAACATCTGTGGTTAACATTTTGAGCACTTCACACCATTTTCTAGGTTCCAGAGTACAGGAACCTCCCCACGGAGACGCAGCAATCCTTCCAGGACCCCACCCTGACTGACCAGTGGAAGAAGCTGCAGGCGGCGCAGCATCCGGAGCTCCAGCTGCGGAAGCTAGAGGAGATGAAGCAACAGTCCAAGCAGGAGCCCGAGAACTCGCTCTCGGGATTCAGCGAGGAGACGAAGAAGAAGGAAGAGGGCGGCTACTTGAAGCAGATGGCGGAGAGGAGAAAGGAAGAGCTGGAGGCGCTCACCCAGAACACGAGATGGAAGCAAGCCGAACAGCAGGAACATCACCACGACTTGAGGCTTCTGAAGCGCAAGGTCGACTACACCACGCCGCAGCTCCAGTCTCCGGTCTACTATGATACCCTACACAAGATCTACTCCACCAAGCCTCCGTTTTACTACGACGGCGACAACCCCTACGAGTACGACTTTGTCGGACCGTGGGACTACCACAAGACCGAGACATTGACGGACGCCTACAAGCTCGAGGCGGCACGGGGGGAGTTAGCCAAGAGTCGCGCAGGCCGATCAGTGAAGGATGGCGGAGCGGTGATGGATGTTCAGTTCGCTGGCTCTCCGGGCAAGAACCCGTACATCACACCCAAGTACACGCAGCAACAGTTGCTACATGGCAGGCCAAGATTGGAAGCTTCCATTGCCCAGAAACCGGTCGCGCAGTCCACCTATACATACAGCTTCAACCCCGATTTCGTCAAAACGGTGATTACACCCGACAACAGTAGATTCGACCTTAGAGACATGAGCAAGAGTCTACCAAACATGTACAGCAGTAGACCATCGTCAAAATCGACTGGAAGTGCGTCTAAATCGGTCCACTTCAACGACACAGCGCAAGTGGCCACAGGGGGTGGGGAGTCGCCCCTTGTCACTAAAGACTACAAACCCAGTGAGAGACTGGGTGGTACCTCGATGTCCTGGAACTACCCTGCATTTGAAAATCCAGGTAGCAGCCCCAAAGTGGATGGCCGCCACTTTAATCCCGAGGGGACACGTGACCCCAGACTCGACTGGAAGCCCAGCTCTCCATTCGGTCCTCGACCCCAGACCAAGCTCTCGAAGATACAGGACTCTTTTACCAAGACAGATGCGAGGAAAGAGTTCCATGGCACCTTCCCTGAGACCAACCCTGATTTAAGAGAAAATATCTACTCTGGGAAGAAGCATGATTTCGAAGGGCTGAATGCTTGCAACTGGCACTGACAAAGTTTGTCTTGTAGTTTCTCAGTTCATTGCATGACTCTTGATCGCCCGAAATCTACTTTTTTTATTCTACGGATCCAATATCTCCTCTCCTACTTACATTTAAAACCCACATTTTTGGTGAGTTTGGTAGTTTTTTAATGTTTGAAAGGGGTTCGAATTCTCGGATTCGTTAGCTCGATCCTTGACTTCGAAAAATTTGTAAAATTAGCAATATGCTTCGAAAATCTCTGGAATTTATTGTGACGTTCAGTTGCATGATAACACATTGAGGGTGTATCAAACCGGCAGGTCTACACAAGAAATAGAGTCGGCATGAAATGCGGGATCTTTATGTGACATTTTTGAATGTCATTCAAGGGCACTTGACTAAATAAGCCAAATTTTTGGAAGCTTTTCGAAAGGTTTTAGACCAAACTAATAAAAAAATCGCATGGGTTATTTTTCCGTTAACTTCAATTTTGTTGAGGCGACAGTTAAAGGATTTTCGCAGACTTTCGAATACATGTAGTGCTGTGGTGACTTCAAACACACAAATACAAATGTTAAGCATTGATACACGTCACGCTCGCACTCACCTTGGATTTTGAAATTGGAAGGATGCACGCTCCATACGCAATGAATGAAAGCTCACAGCTCACCAGCCGTGTTATTGAACACAAAGCACGATTTACAAAATCTTTTGATCACATCATATGTGCGCATTTTATGTAAATATGAAGAGAACAAATTTCACCTGCGTCTAATTTTCATTTCACAACTGCCACCTCATTATTTATTTACTGGACAACTGTAAAGTGAAAACTGGGGTGGACCGTACGTGTGTTTTAAAAGAAATATTTCACAGGTGTTGATGTAAATGTTAACAGACGTATAGGTCTGATAAGGAGGTGAATGACACCTTAAAGAATATATTTTTTGGCAACTTTAAATGAAAACTGCGAAAAATTACATCACAGAACGATATGGTAGTACATTTTGTTGCACGATTTCTACAAATCATAGCCTATAACCTGTAACTCTTTTTGATGTTGATCAATGTGGATTTGGTGAGTGGTGATTTAACTACTCGATTGCCAACAGGGTACTTCGGGAAAATAGCGAGGTCCATCCCTTCCTCAAAAAGGCATAAATGGGGAAAGGGTAAATATAATGATGCATGGAAGGATAATTTTGAGATATTTAAATCTAAAGCGTGTAATTAAAGCGCTCAAACTTAAGCCCCACTCTTCAAACAGGCCTTGAAGCTTAAATGTATAAATCCTTGAATGTTTGGCCACGAATATTTGGCTCTGGGTCCGCCCTTTATTTTTGGTGGGTATTAACTCGCATCCTTTTTACACAACGTCACCCATTGTCTACCGACTCCAACCGTCTTTAATTTCAAATTATAAGAATGCATTTTCTGTATTGGTTTTTGGTGCCAATTTGTATTATAATAATCCAAAAATTAGTTCAAATTTGCCAAGTTGTTCGCGAATAAGATCGCCTAAAATTGTTGATTTTTTCTTTGAACAACAAATTCGTGTACTTACATAATTTTAAAACTTTGAAGGATATATGTGTGCTCCTAAAGTATCCAAACAAGTATTTCGAGTAAAAGTAAAAAATAGACTTTAAAAATATATAATGCATGTCCGGATGTTTTTGTGTACATGTACCCTTCAGAAATACGTTTCTTCGTGAACGCACATTATACCTATATAGCTTGCACTGAAAAATACAGTCTACAAGTACGTTATCAGTTTCATGAAGAATTTTTCATTGAGTTAAACACACAGGATGTTGAAATGATTGATCAATACAATCTTTGAATGATCAGCCAGCAAAGAGTGATATTAAGAACCGTGTTAAACGTGAGTTATTTCATATCGTTGCACTTTCTATGCCAAAGAATTACTTTTCACAAAACACTCGTTAGTTTTATGGTTTATACACACTATTAACAGTTCATTTCGCTATCCCGTTTAAATAAGATTTCCGACAATTACAGTTTACACCAGCTGTAACAGTCGACTGATCAAAACACATACGTCGGTCGATACGCGCATTTATATTCTGCTTCTTGGAAAAAAAAAGAAAGTTTGCGGATGCAAAAAGAGAGCTTTCTTCGACAGCATCTACGGTTGCTGCTAAATGCCCTATCTTATCCCACGAATTATCAGTTAAGCTCAGACTTTTTTTGTCTGGTTCATGTACAAAGATATATTGGAAAGTCCACAAGTGCCATTGTGTCTGATTTTTGAAGAGAAGAATCGCTTTTTTAAGAGACATTTTTGTCGAGGTTGTATTTTGTTAGGTATATATTTTTTGATATATATATTTTTCAAGTTCGTTTTCCTTTTTTTTGAAAAAGGAAAATTTATATTTCTAGATTTTTTCTGGAATAGTGAAGGTTACAAGGGCGTTCCCTGTGAGGTTCAGGCCGGCCTGTCGTTTATACGGCGCAATATAAAAATAGATTTTATCAAAACGAATGTTTCGTAGTAAAGGGATCTTGTTTAAAGGAACTTGAAAGTATATATCTCATAAAATTGAACTTTTACAAACCATAATTTTTAAAAACAAATTGGAAAAAAATATCTTCTGAAACCAAACTTGAAAAAATATGGCTTCACTTTTTGAAAATGTGACATGTTCATCCCTTTTTGAAAACATATACTTCATGGCATTAGTGGGCTTTCGTAAATACAGGGCCATAAATACCATTCGTCTTTCTATGATGAAGTGCATTTGCATTTCTTCGGGTGGCAATATGAGTTGATTTTTTTTTAGTTTTGTCTCAGGGTGTAAAGAAGCTATTGCATGTTTTTTTTGCTTGTGCCGATTTTCTCTAACAAGTTCACGTTTGTCGACTCATTTAATGATATTGTGGTGCTGCTCCAACAAAATCCATTTTTTTCTGCTGTATGTATTGTCTTGCTGCGTAACACGTCCAGATGGACGAAGGTTTCTTGATTTGCGCATTTCCATCGCTGCGTTCTTGGTATCTCATGATGAAATGTTGGCACACACTTTTTTCTTTCACCATCTTAGACAATAAGCATCGAATAACACCTGATACGTAAGCTTCCTGTTATGCATGATTTGAAGTGAGCTGTTGTATTTTTTTGTGAAAGATGATGTGATGCAATAATCAGCCAATCAAATTCACTTCTTGAAAATAATTTAACCGTGATTTAAGCAAATGCAATAAAATGTTTTCCGCATCTTTTGCACAAAGAAGTGTACGTTTGTTAATACTTGTATTATTTCTTTGGTGACTTGGGACTTTCTGAATGGGTTTGGTGGGAGGTCGTGTTGAAACATAGGCAAACAAACATGTGGACAGAGGGAAAACTAAATGTCGAGGACGGGCAATATTATCGATTGGCAAAAAAGTGTGAAGAACAGTGCTCACTGAGCGCAATTTTTCGCTCAAAATTATGCTCCGTTTACCAATCCCTTTCGCGATTTCTAGAATTGCACGAAACGCAACACAGTTAAACTGGGATTAAAAGCTATGACCAAAAGAGAATCAAAATTGTCCCAAAATTTACAATAAAATATTCTTGTTGAAGCAGGGAGGGGGACCAAAAGTCCAGAGTAGCTTTAAGGTATGTTTGGAATGATTGTTGAAAAAGTTGGGGTGGGTTAAACACTGTCGGTCCCTCTTCGCGTTAAAAGCTGCATAGCCCGCTTTAGGGCCATTTAATTAAGCAAATTTACGGTGCTCCACTTTATGGGGGGGGGGCTAATTTCTTTGCGTGGTCATGTCATGCAGGCAAGAGGACGTCAGTAAAGGTATTGCACTTTTCATGACCTTGTACAGTACAAAAATCTGCGGGGTGGGCTCACCCAGGGCCCATTCCCAGGTCATAACTTGAGGAAGATAAACCCCTCTCTCTAACTTCGGGATTTTTGAGCCTGAGCACCAAAATAGGCACAAATTCAGTGGAAAAAAGCGTCCAAATTATCAGTTTATTATCAGGTCAATTATCAATTTATTATCAATTTATCAGGTCGTTTACGGTAGCACTTCATTTTCTCTAGAGGAGGGGGGTAGCTTTATGATTGAGGCCCAAAACCGCGACCTGGGCTTTACAATTGGCTTTACATTTGCGGAAAATTTATCAATTAAAGGTTTATATTCATTTCAAGACATGTACAGAAAAAAAATACAAGGACAAGCACTTCGAGGAAATAGGCATACTGTACAAACATTTGTAATGCACTACAGATTGTAAACTTATCGTATACATGTACTTAAAAATAGAAATGAAAACAAAAATAGATGGGGAATTTTATTTGAATTTATTAGGCCCAAATGAAAATGTTCTGGAAGACACTTTCTCAAGGCGTTTTGAAGACCTAGTTTTACGATATCATTTTGGTACTCTTGTAAATTAATTTATAGCACTTTTTACACAAGTGGCACACTTTTTTTTACACTTTTTACAAATTTTACACAGGCATGGACTGGACATCACTGTTATTCAGTTTTTCTGCATATAGATTTGCCAGCAAGTCGATGAGGTCACTAAGTGTGCTTCCAGACCAAAGTATCAAAAAAAAATCGAGTTGGTCAAATTTGGCCAACTTTAAATGTATCAGACTTGGGGCTAATTATAAGAGGCAACATCTCTCCGAATCACCACTACACCGTGTTACAGGACACACACTCAAACAAAATTATTAACTCCTCTAAACCTCGACTGGAGGCTCCATGGTGCCTGTTCTGTCTGCATCATTCATTTTCCTTCTGGCAATAAGAACATGGTACAGTAATTCTCTCCGTACTTTTTCAGCACCGATGGCTCCAAGTCCGATCCTTTGGAGTACATTTTACAGATTAATCCTATCTTAAAGTCTCCTTGCTGCATGTGGCTTGTGTGGCTCCTAGTAAATCCTCCTGATTTGTCGATCCTTACCACGGGTACCTTCTTGTTTTTGGTTTTCCAGAAAAATAATAAACTCAAACAGCTGATAATTTCGTTCACTGCACGCCCTCGAAAAGATTCTTGGCTGGTGCTGGAATAGAGGTTCACAAACGTCAATATTTCCAAGGGTCCTTAGTTGGTCATATAAAAGGACTGGAAAAGAAACAAGACCAAAGTCCTTCACATCAAACGCATAGCACGGCGTTGAAGCACACTTCAGGAAGTCAATTTTCGCAGGTGGTATTTCTCAGAAAACTAAAAATCCCGTACACTTTCACAAGTACACAACAGCACGACTGGAATGATAGAAGGGTCGATGAAGTGTTTTGGCACACTCAAACTTGAACATGTACACCTCCCCCAAGAAAATGATAATCACAAAATACATGTAATAGATATCTATCATAAACAAAATGTCAGTACATGTAAATGGTAACAGCTCACTTTCATAGCAGCATTACTGGGTTACTTAACCGGGTCTGATATAATGAACACGATTTGAGTTTCGGAGATATGAGATATATAATGAACATGATTTGAGTTTCGGATATATGTGTATTTTCATTTTTATTCTGTTTTCCTTTTGTTTTTGAAGTAACAGTACAATAGTTTAATATTTTAAAGAAGCTTTTTTTACAATAAACATTTCCACAAATTGAAGACAGTGATTGTTAAGCGTCTTCCGCTGATTTATCTGTGTCTGTTGTTCTTTCTTCCTCCTTACTATCCACCTCAGACTCTTCCACGATCTTGAACAACTGTCCATTGGTTCCATTGCCTTCTTCTGCTGGCTTGGTTTCGGCCTCTGCGGCTTGGCCGCTGTCTTCCTTCCCACCGTCCTTGGCTTCCCCTGTTGCCTCCTCCTGGCCGAACACCCTCTTGTTCGCATTGTCGTCCTGTCCCGGAGGCGGGGAGGCGCGGGAAGGAGGGAAGATGACCTCCTTCTCCTTGGTCAGCTCGTCGGCGATGGCACACAGTACCTTGTGCACGTCATCGCTGACGTCGATGTCTTGGGCCACCTCCCAAGTCCCCTTCTGAAATTTGACCGGCAGGGAGAACACGATGTCCTCTGGAAGGTCGTACCAACCTGCAATGTAAGAACAAAACGGAATGGAATGTTGCAAACATTACATCAACATTTGAAAGTGGTTGTGGAGAAAAATGGTAACAAACATCAAAGTACCAATTCAAGAAAAGCATTCCTTTTTGGAAAGAGAATGAAGTGCAGGAAAAAGGTTAAGCCTTGTGAGAATGTTTACACATGAGGCATGGCTTTGATTTTTTAAGTTACAAGAGAAAATAGTTTTCTTATGCAAGTGCCTGAGGTCATTTTAAAGCTTTCCAACATGATTTAATATACGTGTTCATGAATTCTGCCTCGGGACAAATTGGGCCACACATGCACTCATGATGTCGCAAACGGGTTCATTCATGTGTGGCAAGGATGCAAATGTAACTTCCCTCCGAATGCTCACAAATAAATGGCAGGTGGTGGGCACAAGGTGGCCACGGCATGCCAATGATTGTCATGTAGACATCATGATCATCATGGTAAGGGGGAAGGGTTACTCAGGTACTGACTCCATGATTAAAAAAAAATCTCTTTGTGACTGGCATGAGACAAGTAACCATGGAATGGCCAGTGCACTGACGTCCTTACGTTTCTACGTGAAAAGCTAATTGCTTGGTGGGGTACTCTGCAACTGATTCAACCAGAAATTGTTGATGAAACAGGTGATTCACTTACCTTCTGAGAGGACACCAACTGAATACAATCTGTCTCCCTCTGAGCCTTTCCACCAGTCGGTCAGAAGACTCACGACAGAGTGGGCCACTGAGAAGGCGCCCTGGTGCTGCAAAGCGCCCTCCAGAGTCTCCTTGTAGCTCTTCAGTCCGGTCAGGTACTCTGTCTGCAGCCACTTGTCGTCGTGGACCATCTCCCCAATCGGCCGTGAGTAGAAGGGCGGCCCCCAGATGGCGCCTTCGCAGCCATGCACCCTAGCGTGCTTCAAGTCGGTGTAGGTGGTGCCGCCAACGTTGCCCCAGACGAACAGGTTGACAATGCCGGCCGTGTTGACCTTGATGCGCCGCGCCAGTGCCGATTTGGCCCGGTTCTCATCCAGGCGGGAGAGGGCGATCACGTTCTGCCTCAGGACCGCTGGGCTGAAGTGGCCAAGGATGTAGGCGTTGAAGTTGAGAGGACCGGAGCCAGCCACAATGGCCTTTACTTCAGGCAGGGCATAGTCATTCAAGACCTTTGCGTAGGAGGTGTAGACCTCAGCGTTCAGTTGCAACCACTCCTCCTTCTCCATACCATCAGGTCTTGCGATCTCATCCAGGAAAATCACAACACTAGCGTCCTTGAAAGCGTGTTTCACATCGGCTGTCACCACAATTTTCCGTAGCAGCGTACAGGCAAAGTCCTCCATTTCCAGTTTCAAGCCCTCCACCGATTTGACACTGTCCACGTCAGTCAACAGCTTGATGGAGATCTCGTTTTCCTCGCCCAAGACATCCCCGCGGGCTATCTCATGCACCATGTGGTAGGCTGCAGGGCTGGCAGCGTTCGTGATGCAGACGTTCAGAGGCTTGCTCAGGCTCCTCTCGTACTCCTCTTCTGCGGTGACCAGCAGTTTGGTCTCCATGTTCTCTGCTGCTATCTTGGTCATGTCGCTGCTCATCTGCTTGGAGGTGATGCCGTAGTAGCCGCTGGCGTATTCCTGGAACTCGTTGGAGCCACCTATAAGGACTCCCTTGCCACCTCTGTCGATGAGCTCTCGCCACACAATGGGGGACTTCTTGTGACTCCACCCATTCTTCAGGCAAAGTTGCTGCAACCAAATCTGTTGGATAAACATTTCAAGTTGTTGATGTGTGCCTTGAAATGCAAATTGTGGGTTCAACTGGTTGAACTGCACAATCGGGGCTAACGATTGAACCTGTGGGAAATTACAAACTTTACTCCAGTTTTTCCAAAACAATCTTCCAGAGCTACAAATCCGAAAGAAAGGGTGATGATGGCAGGATGAACAGTCATGCGGAGTTTGACCAACACTCTGTGCTACGAGTGCAACCAACTGTTCACACCAAACATAGACATACAGTGACAAGTAAAACCACTGGAGGCCAGGTTAGCGAAGTACCAGTAGTCCTTTCCTTGGCTTTAACCTCTGCGGTCCAGGCTCAATTCCCAGCTCGGTCCATATATTGATGGCGTTTTTAATCCCTACCGCTGTCCATGGGTTTTACCCAGAATTTTCTGCTCTGGAGTTTTCCTCCCACCTCTAAAACTGCTTCTTATTGTCTCCTCTCTACAGACGTGAGCGGATGTGGGTCGTTTGGCGGCTGCCAGAGGCACACTTATATGCCATCAGCTGAACCACATTTAATGTCTTCATTGTACAGCACATTTGAACATACATGTAACTGTATGCAATTTGCGCTTTATAAATAAATAATCATTAAATTAACTATTATAATTTCTGTCTAAAAAAACAAAACACTTTCGGTAAATCACATTGAAATAAGAAAGCTTTTATGACAGTCATAATAAAAAATGAGTTGAACAGCTCGGGAGCTACAGAGAAGCAACAGCTCTATTAAGTGCATGTACATGTATTAACCGTTATTTTTACATCTTGTTCACATATCAAATACAAAACTGGACTTAACTAGGGGCCATGTGCATTTGTTTGCTTTAGGCCACAATCATGAATGGAGATTGCATCGCTTAGCAGTCTCTCCTACATCCTGAGCCTGTTTCTGTGCTCTGAAGATGATTGGCTAGTCTATAACTCATTCCTACGTAATCTCTGAAACAAATTTCTTCTGCCAGTGTCCCCAGCTCCATACTTTTCCCTTCCCCTTTCCTTGTGGGGTCTGGACAGTACATTAATCTCCACTGTCTCTGATGCTGTGCAATGGGCAAGTTTCTCTGACACCAGCTATATATGCACAAGGAAAAACTACCTAGCTCCTCAAAGGGCAATAAATTTTTGGAAACCTTTTTCTTTTTGCACGATTGAAAGTGCATTTTTTTAAAACGCATTTTAAACAAGTTGTGAATTTACCTCCCATTCTTCTGGATGCTTGACAATCTTGTGAATGTGAAAATCAGGCAGATTGATCTTGAGATCATCGGCCAGGAGCTCAGAGCGAGCATAGTATGGGCAGTCAGCACGACCTACACAAGACAAGAAACACATGGCGTATTCACCTCACTCTAAACAATTCATTTTACCTTTCAAACGGCAGTCCTAAAAAATCTTCAGGAAGTACGAATCATTTTGGGTGCAGTTAAACCCGACGCTTTTAACTAAACATGTCAAAATCAAGAGACAAAGTATATTTTTTAAGGTAGACTAAGATCATGGAAATATTAAAGAACAAAGAAATAAACAAGAGAAAGTAAGATATTAGTAATTATAAATAGCACGCTCATCCAACCCTCTGGAAGTATAGGGTGACTTTTCCTATTATCCCCATTTAAAGGCTAATATCCATTGATGGCCAAACTCACCTTGCAAGGCAAGGTTTTTGAGCAGGTGCATCATTACATTACAAGGGTTGCTGAATAACAAAGAGAAATTACATCATCTCTTTGTAGATTACAAGTACTTTGTCTAAACCAGCTGGCCTTGGATGAAAAAATGAGGTAGCTGGGGATATGATGACACAGTCAGGAAAGTGTAGAAATAAGTCCAGAACAGGGTTGTCCAAGACACTCTGTAAGCATTCAGTGTGCGTAAAGATTACATAGGCCTAAGCCTACTCAGCATCATGAGTGTAAACTTTATCTCTAATGTTAGCTAAAAATGTAGGCCTAACATGCTATTAAATTAGATTTAAGCATTGCCATCTGATATGAAAATTATTTGATAGGGAGTTACATGTAGGCTAATGTAAAAGCTTTCCAGACAAATTGTCTGTTGGGACAACTCGACTCAGAACAACTCAACAGTTAAAGCAACTTGACCATTGGGACAACTCAACCATCTGTGCATCAAACCAATAGACAACTCAACCGTCGAGACAAGTCGATTCATTTTTGTGAGTGTGGTATTTATTAAATTTCAATGTTCCGGACACGATAACCTCCATGAAATTTGACTTAACAATCCAAGCCAGCACCGGTAATCCATCGCACTGTGGTGCATATGGGATGCGGCCGGCCACCATTTTTCCTTTACCGTGCATGCACCGTCCACGCCACAAGTAGCAAACCCATGCGTGCTGTGCCCTGAGGCCTGTGCCTGCATGAAATTCATGCAAATTTCGCCCAAACACATCGCCTAGCAGTTTGTGCGAAGCATTGGAGCTGAATTACAGCTAAACATCCGTGCATGCTTGCCACGTACTCGTCTCTGGGTTGAAGTCGACTTGTCTTGACAGACGACTTGTCTTAATGGTCCAGTTGTCCTGAGTCGAGTTGTCCCAACAGACAAGTTGTCTGATAACCATGTGAAATAAGCCAGAAGATTTTTGAATGGACAAAATATTAAACCAACTTGATTCTTCATAGTTTATACCAAAGGCAGTCAGTCAATTGCTGCAGTGTTGAAAGGGCATTTGGGGTCTACATAGCCAAGTCGACATAGGCTAAGCTTCATCGCTGATGCTGCATGGCTGATGTTGCTGTGGAAAGGCATTGTGGGAAGGGAAATGGGGCAATGTTTGCCCCGTTTTTCCTTCCATGATGCCTTTATACCATTGTGCAAAATCACTCTTGCAGTGTTAGCGAGACTTGGGTCTATTGAAATTTAGTTTCAATATTGTGAGTAGACCTAATTTGCTTTTTAAAAAAAAAGATTTATTGAATATTGTAAATGTTTTGAATACTCCATTGGCCTAGGCCTATCAACCAAGGGTGCGACGTCAAACTTATTTATTCCTTCTCAATTTTTTTCGGGGAACCAAGACTAATGTTAGACCTATTGAAAGTTGCCACCCCCCCCCCCCAGCCACACCTGCAAAAAATAGCTTGGACAAAATGTGTCCGGTATGTCCGGAAACTGGGCTATCAACTTATGGCGTCAAAAGCATATTTAAACATTTTGTTGCAAGTTCTACCAAACATAACAAATACAGATACTCTGAATTTGAATATCAAAGATTTGGTAATTAGCAAATTTATTTCTGAACAGTATCAAGATAATTATTTACCAGCAATCACCAACTTCGTCATGTTGTTATAGCGTGTTGTTGCCAAGCACAGGAACACATTGGAGTAGGAGTTTCTTTGAACAACAAACGACTGTCGGTATTTTACAATAATAACAAGTAGTTCGTGTCAACCATTCACAGCCTTGTACCAAAAGCAGATGTTCGTATGCTACCGTCAGGCGTTTGATCACACTCGCTTTGTGTCAAAAGGGTCGATCATTTTAGAGCGAAGTCCGCGATTTATTGAAATTGCAACCATTTAACTGTAGTCGGGTACCCCAATACCTAAAAAATGTTCCAGTTTTTCCCCTATGTGTTGTAATGAACCCGATAAACCAGACGTACCTTTTCCACGTGCAAGGCTGCTGTTTTCGTGAAGGACGCGACTGAGGATTGTCCGAGCCAAAAATCGCCAAAACGGATCTGAATAATAAAATGCAGGGGAAGAAGACAAATTTACGTAAAATGGTGAGGCACTGTATCTTTAAACTGCTTGCCTTGCAGAAGAGCAAGTGGCACCTTGTCTCTCCATGTCTTCCTTCCTTCAGAAGCCTTACAAAAAAGTTACATGCCTTATCGATAGTAATGAAGACAATAATTCAATTTCAAGAGTGATTTTGCATAACCAATATGGCATCATGGGAAGGAAAAAGAGGCAAACATTGCCCCTTTTCCCGTCCTACAACAGGCCTACCTTTCCACAGTTGTGCAAAATCAGCCATGCGGTATTACTAGCAATAAGATTTATGTTCTAACATTGCGCAACAAGATAAAACCTTTGGAAATGAGGTTGCGTTATTGGACTAGTCGCTGGGGGAAGATTTTATTGAAGCAGTGCAATTTTTGACAGAATACATGGCACATTCAGAATCCCATACTAGTGTTACAAAGCAATGAAAATTTGGAACTCCCTCACAGTGAGTGCCTCACAACTTTGGGAGTAGGCCTAGGCCTAGTTGACATGGTGGTTGTTGAATGTCAAGTTTATGACATGATCCAAGCATGCTGAGTGATGATGAATTAATTGAAGACTTGTTCAGTGTTGAGCAGTTGGAAGTTAATCAACTTAAACGGAGGCAAATTCAGCTGCAGCTCCAGACTAGGGCCAGCTCTATAAGTTTGTAACACAGGTACACTGCAAGAAATTTCACTTTTCTTTTCACAATTTGTGCCAGTCATGCCAGTAGATATTTAAAACTGGAAAAAGGGGGCCTGTGTGTGAAGTATAAAATTACACTAAGCAGCTGAGCTACCTATGTATGTCTAAATGACAACTCATGAATACAAATTTAACAATGTAAGCACTGAACCAGACGAAGATTTGTTATGTCAGTACATGTACGTACATTTGAAGTTGCCATCTTGACAAAAAAAGCAAAAGCATATCAGTACTGGTTAATGTTCAAATTGCTGGCAAACTATAAATCACCATTACTTGGTCTTTGTAGCATTTGTGTTATCTGGACATTCCTCCGAAAGAAGTGTTGGTAAACGACGTTGATGGGCTTCAAACTTAATCTTTGAAACTTGTTAAAAATTTGCTCTTTCACTTTGAAAACAGTGGCAACAAAGTCTTTGAAAAATATGAATGTCTCGAAATTCAGATATACTTGTCCGTAAATAAAAAATGGTATCTGGAAATTGGGCATGAAGGTTAGCTTTAGTAGATTGCCGGCTTTCTTTTTGAGTTAATAAGTTGGACCTTTGTGGGCCTTACTTTTTTCTGCAACCTTGTGCTGTCACTCTGCACTGTTCATAGCACTTTTCATGATGGATAATGTTGATCTTTTCCAGGGGTATGAGAATTCAGCTTTTTTTGCTTATGTGTTGCCCCTCAATTTCATCTTTTTTGTGCACCTGGTCTGTACAAAAGTATGAGAAATTTTTACATTTCAGCATTTTGCCGTAGCTGTTTTGAGCTTTAATTTTAAGTGGCCACTCACACCTCTGCTATTCTTTCCCACAGGCTGATGACAGTGAAGTCAGCGCTGACAGAGACGAAAAAGGCGTGGTGTATCTGTCCCACATCCCTCACGGATTCTATGAGCCTCAAATGAAACATTTCTTCCAGCAGTTTGGGAAGGTGACAAGGCTGAAGCTGTGGCGCAGCAAAAAGGTAAAGTTACCTCTTGACGGTTCTGAACCCTACAAAAATTAAACTGAAGTCATGATGTTTTTCATGGGATCCTGGCCAACTCATAGTCGGCAGAGGAGGTGAGTTAGTGAGGGGCGAGTTGGCTAGGGGAAAAGCTGACCAGATTTCTCACAAACAGGATGGTGCTACTTGATCTACAATTAGATTCTGGCAGAGACTTGGGGTAATTTTGCCAACTTCCAGCCACACATTCTTTATTGTTAAACAAGCATCACTGAACGGTATAAGAACAGAGCATTGAACACCACAACGCAGCTTGTTTGGATCTTCTGATTGCTTATTTTTTTTCTTCCCTTTTCAGAGTGGTAAGTCCAGAGGATTTGCCTATGTTGAGTTTGAGTATGCTGACGTGGCCAAGATTGTGGCTGACACCATGAATAACTACCTCATGTACCGGAAACTGCTCAAATGTAAGAGAGGAAGCCAAACACAGGAATCAATTTTGTACTTGGACAGCAGTGGCATAATTTCAGTGGAGCGTGTTCCTGCCGCCCTCCCCGTCACAGAGATCTTTGCCACTGGATCCTCCCCCACCCACTTGAAATATTGAAATGTACACAAGATATTTACAAGCTATAGTTCCTCTCTGAAAAAATGTGCGTGCTACCGGGTTCCCCACTGGAAGTTTCACCTTATTTATGCCACTGTTGGACATAGTTGATAAAATAAGCTAGCTGCAGTGTCAGTAAACTGTAGTAGCCATACATGAACCAGGGTCTGCCTTCTTTCACCGCGTTCGCTCGAGCGTGGACCTCAATTTTTACGGCGTGTCTAGCCGCCTCCCGGCGTGAAGGGGTTAATTCAACAATTATAATTATATTTGAAGATGGTTATTTGTATTCATTTGGTACATGTGTAGCCAGAGGAAGCATTCTGCAGTCAGTAGATGCCTGTAAGTTCAGCTTTGTCACTGCATTAATGAAATGAGCTCTATGATATTTTTTTCCATTTTTTTGTTTCACTTACCTTTTGATGAATTTTAGGTTACAGTACAAAGATCGCTCTTAGATCACTGGTTTTCCAATGACTCTGTTTAACCAGCCGGATGTAGATGGACATACATGTATTTTGGGGGTCAACACGAGAGATATTTAAATGTAGCTGGATGACCCGCTTCACCCCTTGCCACTTCATTTTATAGTAATGTCAGTTTATCATTTTTCTGCCCCAAAGGCAAATTCATCCCAAAGGAGGAGGTTCGCCCCGGCTCTTTCAGCAATTCCCACCGGCCGTTCGTCAAGCCGTACCACCGCAATCTGTCAGTGAAACGTCACAACAGTCTCCTGACAGCGGACGAGGCCCGCATCGTCAAGACCCAGCAGCGACTGGTCCAGAAAGAGGGGAGACGAAGGAAGAAGATGGAGAAGCTCGGCATAGAGTGCAAGCTGCCCGGATATGTAAGCCATGCCTTCCAGCAAATGGATACTAAAATATCTCACCTCCAATCAAAGGCCGCTCTTGGAATGTACTCACTGATTTGAGGTGCATTTTTTTTTTTACACCTGATAAAGTTGCACTTTCATTTCGCACATTTCTCATTGAATGTCTGGCCATAGAATATCAAAACAGCACATGAACATTGTACCTGTGCTTGCTTTCTACGCGTATTTGATGACATAAATTGATTCTTCCTTCCTTGAAGTTTTATCATTATAAGAGGCATATATTGTATAAGAAAATACATGTATTTATTGATGCGAGAATTGAGGATCAGAACTCAACACGTGGTGTATGTGATAAAATATTGCAAGAATAACACTCATTCTAAATGATTTCAAAGTAACAAAGACAGTTCTTATCGTATTGTCTAATCTCCATCTGTCCCTTGAATTATTGAAAAGGTTTACAGCTGGTCTCTGATGTGCATTGCATTAAAGCATGTATTTCATTGTTGTGTCTCCTTCATTGTCCTCTGCATTGCATGATTTATCAAATAGGCAGAAGAGTGGAAGAGCATCAAGAAGGCCCGTGCCATCATCCAAGAGGAGAAGAGAGTGGAAGCCCTGAGGCTGAAGGAGATTGAACAAAGGAAGCAGGAGGCCTTGAAACGGGCCAAGCGCAAGGCCAAGCAGCTTTCGCTCAAGCGGAAGATCGGCAAGAGGCGGAGACGGAGAGAGGCCAGAGAGGAGGCGGAGGCCAAAAAGCTCCCTCAGTCATCTGCCGAGGAGAAATCCCCGGAAGGAGGTGACATCAGCGAGGTATCCCCGAAACGTAAGTCCCAAGATTCGGCAGCGTCGTCATCCAGTGAACCGGATGGGCAGCCCCAGAAGAAGAAAGGTAGACTGTCAACGCCACTTTCCCTGGCCAAAGAGGTGGCCACCTCTTCCTCCCCAATTCAGAAAAAGAAGGAGGACAAATCGGCTACTCTGAGTCAAAGAAGGAAAAGTAGTCGATTGTCTTTGAGAAGAGAGGGTAAACCAGTAGCATCTCTGGCTGACAAGTCAAAACTGGCAACACCAAAGGAGACCAAAGCTTCAGTGAAAAGCACAACAGCTACCCCAAAGACTGCAGGAAAGAGTCAGGCAAAGGATAGCTCAGCGGCTCCACAAGCGTGCACGGAGAGCCATGAAAAACTGAACAGTCCCGCTAATGATCGGAAGCTTCGCTCAGAGACGAAGACACCTCGGAGTGGACGAAACATGAAGGCCTGGGAGACAGAGCCCTCAACTGATGAGTTTGAGAGCAGCGACACCACTGAAGAGGAGGCAAAGGTTAAAGAGTTCACGGGGATCCAACTCAGTGTGTCAGAGAAGGCAGCAGTGGATACCAAGGAGAGAGGGAAGTTCCAGGAAGGAATCAGCTTTGATGGGGACCAGTTAGTGATTTTTTGAGAAATCTAATGACTTCTCAACAAGTCATTATAAGAAACCATTTAACTTCAACCCTCCTGGAGCCATCAAAATCCAATAGGGCATTTTGGATGATTTTAGGAAGTTTAAGGGAAAAAAATGCCTGTGGATCCGGACACTGTGGTTGATATCAAAGGATTCAGGAAGACTTCTGTATGTCTTCGGAGTTTGAGTTTATTGAATCCGTTTTACTGGAAAAAAGTTTTCATTTTAGTCTTACTGTCATCTATTGATTATCATCGATGAATCTGATTCATGCCACATGATTGCAATTTTAAATGGTTTGTCCACTTTGCGTCTATTCTGATGGTATGAAGGTCTTTTGGAGGCAGACAACCATCATGGCTTGATTCCATTTAGCTGTTTTTAAGGTCAGTAATTTTGAAAACAGCTGCTAAAAACAAATGAGGTTTTCAATGAAAGTAACAGAAGTTGTTTCCTTTGAAAAAAATTTTGTGGCTATTCCCTTCATGAACATTTTGCTGAAAATATATCACTTTCCAGCTCGAAAGATATAATTTGTTACAAAGGACCCGGCTGAGCGGAAGCGCAGTTGGACCATGCACATGTTGATGCACGTACATGTAGTTACGTGTTTGTAGTGTATAATTAAGAACTGAACTCGAATATTTGTATGAATCAAGGAGTTCTTGTCTGTATTATGCTGATAATCAATGACCTTAGATTTCAGAGATTTGGGGAACTGATCAACGTGTGAAAGAGACGCAAGTCATGTTTTTTTGTGGATTCACATTCTGTAAATGTATATGGG